TCTCACTCTTTAGAGAGCTTCACCTTACGCATTTCTTTTCAGTAGCGCTCATCTGCAAAAGGAACTCTTAATACAAGAAGTCCCCAATAAGAAATATTCTGTCCACTCTTCTGCTACACGATTTTTAAAAAATAACTAAAACAGGGGTCAGCAGGTGTCGTGGTGGTTAAAGTGCTGGACTCCCACAGTTTGAGTCCTGGACCTGGTGGCTTGCTTTCTCACTTTCTCTCTCTGGTAAAATTTTAAGTAATAATCATAACAACACTTACAAATTAAAGAAAGAATTTTTTAAAAACACACACTAAAACGGGGGGGTCCAGCAGGTGGCATGGTGGTTAAAGCACTGAACTACCACAGGCCAACCGTGGTTCTAGTCTGTGCCCAGCAGCTTGAAAACTGTGCCAGCAACATGTGCACAGACCCAGAGTCCTGAGAAGAGAATGGAGGAGAAGAGACTGTGGCATGGGAACCAGCAGTTAGCGTAATGGCTATGTCACTGGATTCCCACGCAGTCGACCGCGGTTCGCGTCCCGGACCCGGTGGCTTAAACTCATGCCGGGCGCGTGTGCGTGCGTGCCCAAGATCCCGAGAGGAGAATGGAGGAGAAGGGATTGCGGCGTGACCATCCCCCCTGGGGGGTGATTTCTCGCTTTCTGTCTCTATGTCTCTCTCTGTCTGTCTGGCGAGCGCATGTGCCCTACAGTGAAAATCTCTCCAAAAAAAAAAAAAGAGACTATGGCATAACCTCTCCCTGCACCCTAGGGGGATGACTTCTCACCCCACACCCCCAGCAAGTGCATGTGCCCTAAGGCAGAAACCTAAGGGGGAACAAAAACCCTAAAATGCCATTGATTAAAAGTTAAACTTGTGTTAAGACTTCTTACCACTGCAAACAACTTCAACCCTGATCTCTACTTACTTATAAATTTTGAAAGAAGACTCGCAATACAGGTTACCTAAGGTGAAAAAACTTCAGGAATAAAACTCGTAGCTCCTTAAACTGGTTAAACCATCATTCAAAAGAACAGAAAAGGGGTATGAGGAGCCTGAGGCTCACCAAGCACTTTCCCCACAGTTCTCTGGGGCTGCAGAGACTTCTAGAAGCACGACTTAGAAAGATCGGAGTGCTCTGAACTCCAAGGCCACTGCCCGGCAACGCCGGCCGGCACCCGGTGGTGGCGCGGGAGTAAGACAAGGCACCCGCGAGGACCCTCAGGGAAGGCCCCAGGTTCGTGTCCAGGGGCCCCACTGAGCACCGGGCACACATGTCCCGTGATCTGGGTCTGGCTGAGGCTGGGGGTGGACTGCGGTGTCAAGACCCCATGGCCTCCCCTCTTTCTCATGGGATAACAAATGTACTTGAAAAGTCTACAGCAATGTTTCGGTATTTTTCCACACTATGGACAGAGGTGTAGACCCACACCTGCGTGTGTGTGAGTGAGTGTGCGCACACTTGTGGACAGGAGTGGGTGAGATTCAGAGTGAGATGCCGCAAGCCCCCTGGGGATCCTCCGCTGGAGGGGACCGAGGCACAGGGTTACGTGGGGCACCCCAGGCGGCCTCAGGTCTCAGCCACGACCTCCTCCTCCCCTGCAATGCGGTCCCGCCACTGACGCCGATGGAGAGGTGAACATGGACAGCCAGGGCGTGCTTGTGAGAGACGGGCAGGCACGGCGGTGAGCGGGGACAGGCTGCCCGCGATGGGCTCACCTACCGGATCAGTATGAGGGAGGTCACTCTTCCGTAGTCGGCGGGCGTGAAAACCACACCAACCCTCTTCTGCTCCAGAGGCTTCAAGCGTAAGTGGAGCGCGCCCAGCCTGGACTCCTGGGAATGCACGCCCTGCAAACCACGAACGACGCGTTACACCGGCCTCCGGGCTCCCCAGGGCACCCTCCCCACGGCACAAATGCCCAGATTCCAATACCCGCCTCCAACTATCTGGACCCGTGTATCCCACACCTCGTACCAGGAACCCGCCCCTAGGCCACAGCTGAGAAAGGCAGGCAGGGACCACCCGACACGGACCTGGGAAGGGGACTGGCTTCCCGGTTTGCATGGGAGTCGGGGCTACACGGATACTCTGAATTCAGCACACAGGTCAGAAAACAGATCAACTGCATCTGCTCTGACGCTACAGTAATCTGGAGGCCTCCTGTCCCCCGTCAGACAGCCTGAGATCTCTTCACATCAACTCCCTCTGCTAAATTTAAACGCATACAGAGATCACCCTCCCTCTGCTTAGTCTTGCCAGTTATTCCCATCTTCCTCCGTTCTTTCCAGGGTTTCCTTCTCTGAATAAAACTTGTGCCAAATTTAACGTCGATACTGTTTAATCTCAGACTTACGTTCCCTCTTTCCACAGACTTTTCTAGATTCTCCCCAGAAAAAACAATGTATTAATTTATTAGAGCCGTAGTCCTACCAGTCACCCAATAATACTACTTTTTTTCTTTTTTGGGGGGAGAGGCTTTGTGCGCTCGCCAGACAGACCAGAGAGATAGAAAGTGAGAAATCACCCCCCAGGGGGGATGGCCACGCCACAGTCCCTTCTCCTCCATTCTCCTCTTGGGATCTTGGGCACGCACGCACATGTGCCCAGTGTGAGTTTAAGCCACCGGGACTGAGACTCGAACCACAGTCGACTACATGGGAGTCCAGTGACATAGCCATTACGCTAACTGCTGGTCCCACCCAATACTACTTCTCTTTCCTTTGTTTTCAAATCTTACATTTGTTTTGTCCTTCGATTACTGTGAGTGGCGTCTATGCTATCTGAAAGAAAGGGGGATGGCGTTGAATTCGGAGACCCGGTAGCCCAAGAAACCAGCTGGGCATGTGCATGTGTGCCCCAAATCCCGAGAGGAGCGTGGAGAGGGGACTGCAGCACGGCCATCTCCCTGAGAGGGGAGAGGGATTTCTGAATTTCCCTTTCTCCATCTTTCCCTGTTTCTCTCCCCCAAGCACACGCACCATCTGGCAAATTAAAAGAGAAAACAAACAGTGATCCGTTCGGAGGTCTCCAGCTATGGTTCTGCGCATAGCTCTGACGTAACTTATTTCTTCTCTCACACGATTCTAAAGCACCCAATTAAAATGAGTTACAGGTTGAGACCAGCAGATGGTGTAAGGTTTATGTTACTGGACTCCCATGTAGTCAACCGCGGTTCAAGACCCACACCCGGCAGCTTAATATCACGCTGGGCACATATGCATGTGTGCCCAAGATCCCGAGAAGAGAATGGAGGAAAAGCCATCCCCCCTGGGGGGTGATTTCTCACTTTCTGTCTCTCTGTATCTTTCCTAGGAGTGCACATGCCCTACAGAAAAAACCTTTCTTTAAAAAAAAAAAGAGTTAGGGAACCAGCAGTTAGCGTAATGGCTATGTCGCTAGACTCCCACGTAGTTGACCGCGGTTCGTGTACCGGACCCGGTGGCTTAAAACTCACGCCAGGCGCGTGTGCGTGTGTGCCCAAGATCCCGAGTGGAGAATGGACGAGAAGGGATTGCCGCGTGACCATCCCCCCTGGGGGGTGATTTCTCGCTTTCTGTCTCTATGTCTCTCTCTGTCTGTCTGGCGAGCGCACGCGCCCTACAGTGGAAATCTCTCCAAAAAAAAAAAAAAAAGAGTTACAGGGGGACATGAACCTAACTCCCGCTGCTCTGACTAGAAGCCCTGCCATGTATCCCAAACCCCTGGAGGATGAAGATGAAGGAGCTGTGCACCCAAAGCTATGTCACACAGAAGCCGGAGCCCTGGAGCCGCCCATCCAGCCCGGCAGGATCCTGTTCTCTGTGGCAGGAGGACGACCTACCGGGTGAGGACAAGCCCTGGTGAGCTGGAATTCCCTAGTGGTCAGGTTGATTGTCTGCATGTCGGTGCCAAACCTGCAAGGGAAACAGATACTTACAACAGCATCCAGACTGCCCACGGGGCTTGACAGCACGTGTGCACACAGGACCTCCGTTTTCTTTGAGAGGTTTTGCCCATAGGACGTGTGTGCAGGTCGGAGAGACAGAGACAGAGACGGTGAGAGGGAAAGTGAGACATCGCCCCCACCAGGGGTGGCCACGTCCCAATCCCTTCCCTGCCACTCTCCTCTCAGGACCTCAGTCATGCGCGGACACATCCTGGCAGGAGTCTCAAGCCACTGGGTCCGGGACTCGAACGCGGTGGCCATGTGGGAGTCCAGTGACGTAACCACTCTGCCTCTGCGGGTCCCATATATGCGCATTCGTACACAGGTGAGCACACGTGTGCACACATACTCTTGTGCAAGCATACACGTGCACACGCCCTTCGCATCCACCCTGTCACCACTGTGGGCCACTCACACCCCTGCTGTACATGGTCTGCTCTAAGCGCTTTAGGAAGTATTATTTTTTTTAAAGAATTATTTTATTTGCTTATTTTATTATCATTATTATTCTTTCATTTGACCAGAGACAGAGGGGGAGGGGAAGTGAGAAAGCAAGCCACTGGTTCTGGGACTCAAACCGTGGTCAGCCATGTGGGAGTCCAGCACCTTAACCACCACGCCACCTGCTGGCCCCAGGAAGTACTGTCAAGTGAATGACTTTGGTAGCACAGGGGGTAAAGACGCACATGGTGACAAAACTCCAAATACGAAGCAATTTTTATTTTCTCCAAATGGTTCGTGGCTGCGGAGCCTGAAAGGAGCTGACTCTTAACCAAAGGCAGCTTCTTCCCCCAGGGGACATCTGGCAACGTCTGGGGACATTTCCGGTTGCCACAGCTGGGGAAGTCCTACTTGTGGTGCGTGGGCAAAGCCCAGCAAGACACAGAACACCCTGAAATACACGGGACGGCCCCTCCTCCCAAACATGACAGATGTCCCTTAATACTACTGAGTTGTTGGAAAAGTCACGGTGCATTTTTGCACAGAAAAAATTTGTCATGAGGGCTGGGAGGAGGCGCTGGACTCCCACATGGCCGACCGTGGTTCAAGGCCCAGACCTGGTGGTTTGCTTTCTCACATTCTCTGTCTCTCTCTGGTCAAAGTGAAGAGTAATAATAATAAAATAAGTCTTTAAAAAAGAAAAGAAAAACAATGTCATGACTTTTCTGACAACCCAATACTACCATCTTTACCTGGCTTACTAGTTAGAATACATTAAAACACTATACTCGTTTCGGGAGGAGTGGAGGTGAAGGTGGCTGGATCCCACAGGGCCAACTTCGCAGTTCAGGTCCTGGACACGGCTTGAGAATCGTGCCGGGAGCATGTGTGTGCGGCTTGAGGTCCCGAACGGAGAACAGAGGAGAAACCACACAGCCTACAGCAAACTGAAACAAAAGAGAACAGACAGCTCACTCCCTTCCTGGGTCGCTCAGAGAGCGCTGAGATTTCGATGCTCAATTTGAGGTACGTATGTGAAAACTAGGATGATAAAGGTCCCTAACTGCTATGGTCCGAAGGTTCCCTCCAAACCATGAGGTGAAGTTTCTCTGCCAGGGTGATGGTATTAAGAAATGGGACCTTTCAGGACCAGCGGTTGGTGTAATGGCTATGGTGCTGGACTCCCACGTAGTCGACCGTGGTTCACATCCCAAAGAAAAGAAAAGAAAAGAAAAGAAAAGAAAAGAAAAGAAAAGAAAAGAAAAGAAAAGAAAAGAAAAGAAAAGAAAAGAAAAGAAAAGAAAAGAAAAGAAAAGAAAAGAAAAGAAAAGAAAAGAAAAGAAAAGAAAAGAAAAGAAAAGAAAAGAAAAGAAAAGAAAAGAAAAGAAAAGAAAAGAAAAGAAAAGAAAAGAAAAGAAAAGAAAAGAAAAGAAAAGAAAAGAAAAGAAAAGAAAAGAAAAGAAAAGAAAAGAAAAGAAAAGAAAAGAAAAGAAAAAGAAAAGAAAAAGAAATGGGACCTCCCGTAGGTGTCCTCGTCACCGTGTGACACTCTCACTGTGGGGTGGGTTAGTTACGGTGGGACTGGGCTCCTGGGGAAGGCTGACTCTGGTCCCATCTGTTGACTCAAATGCTCGTCTGCCCTTGCACCTTCTGCGGTGGGATGACCCTCGCCGACCGCCAGCACCCTGCTCCAGGGTCCCCCAAACTCCAGAACTTCCCTATAGACGACGAGTCACAGGCAGCCTGTACGGAGCACGAGGCAGGCCAAGACACTGACTCCAGAGAAGAGCGTTCTGGAAGTGGACCGGGCGCAGGAACACTGCGGGTGCCACACACAGAACCAGGAATGGACCCGTGATGTGCGCCAGGGGCCAGGTGCCCGCACGTGGGCTCGCAGTGTACACATTCGCACCCAGGTCCAGGTGAAGAGTGCAGGATTTTAAGTCACCCCAAGTCCTATCGGCGGATCCCCGCCCGCCCTCAGAAGGTGTCGTACCATCTGTGCAGCAGGTGCACCGCGGCTCCAGGCTCGGGGTACGCGGACAGAGGTAGGAGCTGCAGGGAGACCGGCAGAGAGGACGGGTTCCTCACCACGAAGTACTTCACCTAGACGCAGGGAAAGGGGGTCAGAGCCTGCGAGGACGCGGCGTCCCTCCGGAGCCGTTCCTGCCAGGAAGCCCAACACGCATCACCGAGAGGAGCCCTCCGAGACACGGACCGGCCCATGCGCTTCTACGACAGGCAAGGCCAGAGAAGATCAAGAGACTAAGCAGGGCTAGCGTGGCGTTTGGGGCACTGGACTCCCACGTGGCTGACCGCGGCTCAAGTCTCAGACCCCGTGGCTTGAAAATCACACCAGGCATGTGTGCATACCTGCCCGAAATCCAGAAAAAGGAGCAAGTACAGAAGGGACTGCAGAGGGACCGTGCCCACGGAGGGGAGGGTTCTTGTCTCTCTCTCCCCCTATCTCCCCTTCTCTGTCTCTCTCTCCCTATCTCTTCTCCGTCTCTCTCTCCCTATCTTCTTCTCTGTCTCTCTCTCCCTATCTCCTTCTCTGTTTCTCTCTCCCTATCTCCCCTTCTCTGTCTCTCTCCCTATCTCCCCTTCTCTGTGTCTCTCTCCCTATCTCCCCTTCTCTGTCTCCCCCTCCCTCTCTCCCCTCCTCTGTCTCTCTCTCTCCCTATCTCCCCTTCTCTGTCTCTCTCTCCCTAGCTCCCCTTCTCTGTCTCTCTCCCTATCTCCCCTTCTCTGTCTCTCTCCCTATCTCCCCTTCTCTGTCTCTCTCTCTGGATAGCATGCATTCACAGCGGCAAATTTTTTAAAAAGACAGTTTCCTCTAAATTGAAATTATTTCTTTCCTTTTTTTTTTTTGAAGAGGTTTTCACTATAGGGCGTCTGTGCTTGCCAGAATGACAGAGAGAGAGACAAAAAGCGAGAAATCACCCCGCAGGGGGAATGGCAATGCCACAATCCCTTTTCCTCCATTCTCCTCTCGGGATCTCACACCCGGCGTGAGTTTAAGCCTCCGGGTCTGGGACTCAAACTGCGGTCGACTACATGGGAGTTCAGCGACATAGCCCTTACGCCAACTGCTGGTCCCAGCTGAAATTATTTCAACATAGCAGTTTAAGCAAACCAAGAAATAAACTAGTGTCTGGATGCCATCCCTGCTAGCCTCCATCAGCGCACAAGGAGTCACGGTGACTCCGACCACACGGGGCATGGTGAACAGCCACGAGAGTCTGGAGACACCGATGGACGGCTGCTGGCCCCAGCCTGTCCTGTCCTTCCTGCCCTGCCCCCTCAGTGGGAGAGAGCAGCATGCATGACGCCAACACGCTACGCAGGGAATGTAACCGGACACGTGGCCCACACGCTGGACAGCATCACGGGGCGACCTGGCCCGCTCTGGACCACCCTCCTCCGGCGCCTCATGATGAAGCAAACCCAGCTCCTCTAAGCGGTGAGAGAGTTTCTCAGCTGTGTGTGGCCATGTCCTGCCGTCCCTGACACGTCCCACTCCATGAAGTCGCTCTGCCGACCGTGCCGCTGGACAGCAGGGACCTTCACGGCTCATCCTGCTCTTTCAACGCCTGCTCGCCGTGGGAAGTGCGGAAGGGCAGGCGTGTGCGTGCAAGTCAATTTCAGCTCTGAACGCCCCAGAGCTGGGGTGGTGCGGACAACGAGGACACGGCACCCCGTCCTCACCAGGCTGTTCCGCAGGGCGGTGGCACTGAAGTTCAGCACGAGGCCGGGCTCCGCGAGCAGGCGAGGCAGGAACACGGCAAAGGGCTCTGGCTGCCTGGATCTCTTCAAGAGGCCAAGCCGGGTGGTTCCCAAAACAGCCCTCCTGTTTAATTAAGGAAGAAGTTGTGATGAAAATCTTACACCGAAACGGCGACCACTAAGGACCAGTCCCACGATAAAAGGGACAAGAGTCTCAGGGAAGACGACGTATTCTAGGGCTGAGGAAGAGAGAGAGCGAGACCCACCCCATCGTCCTGTTTAACAAGAGCGAGGATGCACGTCGTTCAAAGGAGCGTGTCGAGACACACGGCAGCCGCGGGGATTCCCACCAGCCAAAGCCGAGAAGCCTTATCATTGGAAATAACCACGATGATGCTGGGTCGTGGGGAAAGGCGTGGCGTGTTTTTCTATGTAAAAAGGCATCGTGACATTCCCGACGACCCAAGAGCAGAGTCAACACGCTGACTGCAGAATCCACAGTGATGCTCGAGAAGAAGGGACATCTCTTTTTTAAAAATACAGTGTCTGTTGGGGCCAGCAGGTGGCATGGTAGTTAGGGCACTGGACTCTCACATGGCCCACTGCAGCTCAAGCCCAGGCCCTAGCGGTTTGAAAACTGCACTGGCAGGGTCAGCAGTAGTGTGGTTAGGGTGCTGGACTCCCACGTGGTTAACTGTGGTTTGAGTCCCAGACCTGGTGGCTAGAAAAAACATCATACCAGGTGTGTGTGCATGTGTACCAAAAATGCCAGGAGGAGAACGGAGGAGAAGGGACTGCAGCATGGCTATCCCCACTCGGGGTGATTTCTCACTTTCCCTCTCTCTATCTCTGTCTCTCTATCTCTGTCTCTCTGGCAAGTGCATGTGCCCTATGGGCAAAAACCTACAAATAAAAAGAAAGAAAGAAAATCACACTGGCACACCAGGGGTGTGTGTGTGTGTCTGTGAGTGTGTGTGTGTCTGTGTCTCTGTGTGTGTGTGTGTCTATGAGTGTGTGTGCATGCACACGTGCCCAAGAAGAGACCAGAGGAAAAGGGATCGCAGCCTGGCCACCACCCAGGGGTGCCCTCACTTTCCCTCTTCTTATCTCCAGTGAGTGCATACACTCTATGACAAAATCCTAAAGATAAATAAATAGATAGATAAGTAAGTGAAAACCAGTGTCTGTTAGGAAATGTGAAGGGACAAAACGCTGAGAAGTCGCTTTGCAGCTATCAGCCTAACGACTGACTCAGGCAAGAACTTCCGACAAGGGCGGAGACCCCAGGACGCACGTACATGGGGAACAGAAGTCTCTGTGGTACGAACTCAGCACGGCACGGATAGTTACTAAGTACAAAGGGAAAAAGCCCCCACCACGGGAGAGCATGTCCGGAGCTTGGCACACGCCGCGCCTCACCTAAGCCGGGGCATCCGAACCTCGGCAGGAGTAACCTCGGCGGAAGGTTCACCCTGAAGGTGAGCTTGAGGCAGCGATCCGGGGTGTCCCACAAGACCCCTGGCGTGAACGCCCAGACACATCGACTTGGTGAAACCAGAAATTGGGGCCACGAGACTACAGACCACTAAGGGAACATGACAGCCAAAGGCAAAGCGACATCCCTGAGTTGACCCTGGATTAAAAGCAAGTCAAAGAACAGGAACCGTTGTACCGGGTGTTGAGTCAGCCAGGGAGACCTGAACACAGGTAACGCTAGCTAACGTAATAGTGCCAACGACACGCCTGTCGGGCACGCCAGGGTAGTGAAGCTCTATGGAGAATACCCTCCTTAGGAAGCAAAGCATTTCCTAATAACATATTAATAATAAAGTACCAATAAAGTATGATGAGAGGCCAGCAGGTGGCATACTGGTTAAGGCGTTAGACTCCCACATGGCCAACCACAGTTCGAGTCCTGGACCCAGTAGCTTGAAGCTCACGCCGGGCATGTGTGCATGCATGACTAAAATCTCGAGAAGAGAATGGAGAAGAAGGGAATGCCACATGGCCATCCCTCCTCAGGGGGGAATTTCTCACGTTCTCTGTATCTGTCTCTCTCTCTGTGTCTCTGGTGAGCGCACACTCCCTGTAGTAAAAAATCTCTCTAAACATAAATAAATAATGATATACCTGCAGCTTACTTTCAAATGACTCAGCAAAAAGTGTGTGTGTGCACAAGTGTTTAGATGTAAACGGAGAGAAATGGAGAGAAAGTGGTAAAATGCAAATACCTCAGTAAACAAAACCCAGACGAGGGATACCTGGGAATTCACGACTCTGCCCTTCCCATTTTTCTGAGCTTTGTAATTTGTCACAATAAGAAGCTGGAGGGAAATAGCAACCTCTCAAAAGTAAGGATGGCGGGTTTCGCGAAGTTCTGTGTTCGAGTCTCCCTGCTGAGCGAAAGAGACGCAGAGACATGAAGACATACTTGCAGACATCGCCGCTCCTGTGTCTCTTCCAACTTGCATACAATTTATCGGCACGTTCGGCATCCACGCCCCAGGTAGACCGGTCCAGAGACAGGCTCTGGTCCCAGTGAGGGTTTTCTAAAAGTCAGAGCAGATGCAATATTTAGATTTACGGAAGAGAGCACTCGGTAAACAAACATACCGAGAGCTGACTGTCACACCTCTCAGACAGAACTGCTCAGTGGACAAATGCCACCCTCTCCTCTCCTCTGTGGCTTTCCTCCCAGTCCCTCTACCTCGATGGCAAATAACACATCAAATGAAACAAACATGTATAAAGCAAAACTAAACCAAATGGTGGCAGTGTAACATGAAAGACACATGGCTCATGAATGCAGGCTGAAACAAGCGGAGATCAGACCGCGAGCTTGTGTAACAGCGGTAAGTCCTCCGTGTGGAACAGCCTCTGAGTCTCGGGTTATCACAGGGAACAAAAAAAAGAGCAATTCTCAAGACCCGAAAACAGCAATTCACCAAGAGCCGGGCCCAGTCTATCTAAAGCACATAGTCAGCTGGCCTGCTGTCCCTTCGCCCTTTTGCTTATCCGGGCTAACCGTGGCATCAGGAGGGAAAGGCGAGAGTCTCCTAAGAGATCTCTGTGCTTGAAGACTCTCCTTACATAAACATCTTAGTGAATCCAGAGGTCAAAAATTAAAAAATAAAACACCCTAAAAAACAAAAAAGCAGCTTCTTTATCAACACAATGGCCTTCAGTCTGACAGCACAACCCGCACCATGACAGGATGCCTGTGCCCCCAGGCCAGACTCCCCAGAGTAACGCCAGATGATGTTACTAACTTGCAGCGAGCTGGTTTATAAGAGTCGGAGCCGGCCCACTTCTGCTGGCAGTGAAGCTGCTTTGATCAAACAATGACACTGGGGGGAAAAAATCCCTTACAAAGTGGAAACTGAGACCAGCAGATGGTGTAACGATTGTAGCCCTGGACTCTCGCATGGCCAAATCCATTTGAGTCTGGGACCCAGCGACCTGAAACCCATGCTGGGTGCACGTGCATGCAGGCCCAAAATCCTGAGAGAATGGAGGAGGAGGGATTGTGGCATGGCCATTCCCCCCAGGGGGGCGGGGGGGGGTTTGATCTCTGTCTTCCAGTGAGCGCACACACCTCTCAAAAAAAAAAAAAGTGGGAGGGGGCAGTGGGTAGCATGCTGGTTAAGGTGCTGGAATTCCCACATGGCTGACCATGGTTTGAATCCCGGACCTGGCAGCTTGCTCCCTCATCCTCTCTCTCTCTTTCTCTCTGCCTGTCTTTCTCTGGCAAAAACTCATGTGAAATAATAATAATGATAAGTAAACAAAATAAGTAATTCTTTAAAAAAAAAAAAAATAAGTGGACGCTGCTGGGACCAGCAGGTGGTTAAGGCGCTGGACTCCCACATGGCCAACTGCGGTTCAGTCTCAGACCCAGCAGGTTGAAAATTGTGCTGGGCGGGACCAGCAGTTAGCGTAATGGCTATGCCACTGAACTCCCATGTAGGCGACCACGGTTCATGTCCCGGACCCGGTAGCTTAAAACTCATGCCGGGCGCATGTGTATGCATGCCCAAGATCCCAAGAGGAGAGTGGAGGGGAAGGGACTGCGGTGTGGCCATCCCCCCTGGGGGGTGATATCTTGCTTTCTGTCTCTCTGTCTCAGGACGCACGTACATGGGGAACAGAAGTCTCTGTGGTACGAACTCAGCACGGCACGGATAGTTACTAAGTACAAAGGGAAAAAGCCCCCACCACGGGAGAGCATGTCCGGAGCTTGGCACACGCCGCGCCTCACCTAAGCCGGGGCATCCGAACCTCGGCAGGAGTAACCTCGGCGGAAGGTTCACCCTGAAGGTGAGCTTGAGGCAGCGATCCGGGGTGTCCCACAAGACCCCTGGCGTGAACGCCCAGACACATCGACTTGGTGAAACCAGAAATTGGGGCCACGAGACTACAGACCACTAAGGGAACATGACAGCCAAAGGCAAAGCGACATCCCTGAGTTGACCCTGGATTAAAAGCAAGTCAAAGAACAGGAACCGTTGTACCGGGTGTTGAGTCAGCCAGGGAGACCTGAACACAGGTAACGCTAGCTAACGTAATAGTGCCAACGACACGCCTGTCGGGCACGCCAGGGTAGTGAAGCTCTATGGAGAATACCCTCCTTAGGAAGCAAAGCATTTCCTAATAACATATTAATAATAAAGTACCAATAAAGTATGATGAGAGGCCAGCAGGTGGCATACTGGTTAAGGCGTTAGACTCCCACATGGCCAACCACAGTTCGAGTCCTGGACCCAGTAGCTTGAAACTCACGCCGGGCATGTGTGCATGCATGACTAAAATCTCGAGAAGAGAATGGAGAAGAAGGGAATGCCACATGGCCATCCCTCCTCAGGGGGGAATTTCTCACGTTCTCTGTATCTGTCTCTCTCTCTGTGTCTCTGGTGAGCGCACACTCCCTGTAGTAAAAAATCTCTCTAAACATAAATAAATAATGATATACCTGCAGCTTACTTTCAAATGACTCAGCAAAAAGTGTGTGTGTGCACAAGTGTTTAGATGTAAACGGAGAGAAATGGAGAGAAAGTGGTAAAATGCAAATACCTCAGTAAACAAAACCCAGACGAGGGATACCTGGGAATTCACGACTCTGCCCTTCCCATTTTTCTGAGCTTTGTAATTTGTCACAATAAGAAGCTGGAGGGAAATAGCAACCTCTCAAAAGTAAGGATGGCGGGTTTCGCGAAGTTCTGTGTTCGAGTCTCCCTGCTGAGCGAAAGAGACGCAGAGACATGAAGACATACTTGCAGACATCGCCGCTCCTGTGTCTCTTCCAACTTGCATACAATTTATCGGCACGTTCGGCATCCACGCCCCAGGTAGACCGGTCCAGAGACAGGCTCTGGTCCCAGTGAGGGTTTTCTAAAAGTCAGAGCAGATGCAATATTTAGATTTACGGAAGAGAGCACTCGGTAAACAAACATACCGAGAGCTGACTGTCACACCTCTCAGACAGAACTGCTCAGTGGACAAATGCCACCCTCTCCTCTCCTCTGTGGCTTTCCTCCCAGTCCCTCTACCTCGATGGCAAATAACACATCAAATGAAACAAACATGTATAAAGCAAAACTAAACCAAATGGTGGCAGTGTAACATGAAAGACACATGGCTCATGAATGCAGGCTGAAACAAGCGGAGATCAGACCGCGAGCTTGTGTAACAGCGGTAAGTCCTCCGTGTGGAACAGCCTCTGAGTCTCGGGTTATCACAGGGAACAAAAAAAAGAGCAATTCTCAAGACCCGAAAACAGCAATTCACCAAGAGCCGGGCCCAGTCTATCTAAAGCACATAGTCAGCTGGCCTGCTGTCCCTTCGCCCTTTTGCTTATCCGGGCTAACCGTGGCATCAGGAGGGAAAGGCGAGAGTCTCCTAAGAGATCTCTGTGCTTGAAGACTCTCCTTACATAAACATCTTAGTGAATCCAGAGGTCAAAAATTAAAAAATAAAACACCCTAAAAAACAAAAAAGCAGCTTCTTTATCAACACAATGGCCTTCAGTCTGACAGCACAACCCGCACCATGACAGGATGCCTGTGCCCCCAGGCCAGACTCCCCAGAGTAACGCCAGATGATGTTACTAACTTGCAGCGAGCTGGTTTATAAGAGTCGGAGCCGGCCCACTTCTGCTGGCAGTGAAGCTGCTTTGATCAAACAATGACACTGGGGGGAAAAAATCCCTTACAAAGTGGAAACTGAGACCAGCAGATGGTGTAACGATTGTAGCCCTGGACTCTCGCATGGCCAAATCCATTTGAGTCTGGGACCCAGCGACCTGAAACCCATGCTGGGTGCACGTGCATGCAGGCCCAAAATCCTGAGAGAATGGAGGAGGAGGGATTGTGGCATGGCCATTCCCCCCAGGGGGGCGGGGGGGGGTTTGATCTCTGTCTTCCAGTGAGCGCACACACCCCTATAGCAAAACTCGTTCTCAAAAAAAAAAAAAGTAATTCTTTAAAAAAAAAAAAAAAGTAATTCTTTAAAAAAAAAAAAAAAGTAATTCTTTAAAAAAAAAAAAAAAGTAATTCTTTAAAAAAAAAAAAAAAGTAATTCTTTAAAAAAAAAAAAAAAGTAATTCTTTAAAAAAAAAAAAAATAAGTGGACGCTGCTGGGACCAGCAGGTGGTTAAGGCGCTGGACTCCCACATGGCCAACTGCGGTTCAGTCTCAGACCCAGCAGGTTGAAAATTGTGCTGGGCGGGACCAGCAGTTAGCGTAATGGCTATGCCACTGAACTCCCATGTAGTCGACCACGGTTCATGTCCCGGACCCGGTAGCTTAAAACTCATGCCGGGCGCATGTGTATGCATGCCCAAGATCCCAAGAGGAGAGTGGAGGGGAAGGGACTGCGGTGTGGCCATCCCCCCTGGGGGGTGATATCTTGCTTTCTGTCTCTCTGTCTCTGTCTGTCTGGTGAGCACACGTGCCCTATAGCAAAAAAAAGAAAGAAAGAAAATCGTGCTGGGCATGTGTGTGTGCATTCCCAAAGTCCCAGGAGGAGGATGGAGAAGGGACTACAACATGGCTGTCCCCCCAGGGGGTGACTTCTCACTTTCCCTCTCACTGTCTCTCTCTAGCAAGTGCACCCGCCCTGTGGCAACCAGCTTAAAAAGAAATGAAAAAGAAACGTGGAAGCTGCCAAGGGCCGGGGCATTATTTACACAAGTACCACAGGTGTTCCTAGAGGATCCCTAACAACTCCAAGCCATCCCGTTAACAAGCACGCTAAGAACAGAACAGACGCCATTACGGTTACAGGACTCATTATTCCATCTACAAATGCTGCTCCTCGCTCCGTCCCCTCCCCACACTCAGGTCTGGACAGCCTCAGGGCGAGGTACTTACCAGCTGCGGGTTTTCCCATGAAATAATGCATACCACAATGTGCTATCACTTCAGAACCCAGACTCCCTTCCTAGATTGAAAATAACACATGAATAACTCAAAACAGAACGGCTAAGCACAGAAATCCGAATGCACTGCAGCACCAGACAGGCACTGCCCTCCGCCTCAGCCGCCTCCCTTTAACCAGAAGCCAGGCCATGAGAAAGTAAGCCTGGTGCCCGACGAGGGAGACCTGCACTCTCATAAGAGCGGTCACCGCGGGGACAGTCCTTGGGTCCCCAAGACACCCCGCTGCCGTCTGCAGCACAGGGTCCGTCGGTCTTGGCATTAGTTTCGTTTGTTTTTAACTGTTTCCCGACCTCTGAGAAACCACATGCCCATCTCCAGTCAGTCCGGCCTGCACAGGACCCTCCTGCAGGTCTGGCGAGCACAGACTTGGTGCTACGGCCACACCCCTGACACCGCCTGCCCCGCCCACAATCACCATCTCCGACACATCTCTTGATTGGAAAATAGAGCTCTCTAAGAACTCTCCACTACTCAAAATGTAGACGGATGGAGTGGCCCTTACATCTCATGCCGTTGGATATGAGAAGTCCTATCTAAACACTGAGAGGTCGACATGAGGCCTAACTACGACACATCAACACTAAAAATGAGAAAAAGCATAAAGATGGGTGCATGAATGTCTCATAGTGAAAAATTAGAACCTGGTTTATACAGAATAGCTTGGACAAAAAAAAAAAAAGGCAATCATAACTAACAGGAAAAAAAAAGGAAAACGAAAAGAAAAAAATGAGACATGTTTAAGGTAGCCTAAATGAAATACAATTGACCCCGATTTCAGAAAGCATTCTCTTAACAGTGAATGCTTCGGCCCATGAAGGAAATGCCAGGACTGCAAGTCCTTTAGAGGTTTAAAGAAAGCATTTAACGATCAAATTTATTTGAAGCCATTACAAGTATATACTAGAGGCTCAACGGTACCTTCCATGGGAAGCACATACTGCTTGCCCTACAAGTTTTGGAAATAAATGAAAAGGAGATCGATTCATCGATTCCTAATGCTTTATTTCAATTAAGAACTTCCAATTGCTTTATAAAAAATATACATTGTTTCTAAATAAAGATTTCCATGTCGCAACAATTGACCAGCTAAGACTGGTAATATCTTTCGATTTTTTTTAGACAGCCAGTTGACCAGCTAAGACTGGTAGTATCTTTCAATTTCTTAACTGTGCTGAACCCAGTCAATAAAACACAAGCACTATAAATTAATAAGAATAATAGTTACTAGAAAAATTATAATTCTGTAGAGTGTTGTGAACTATACCTTGGTTTGTGCTGAGTAAATCTGTAGAGGAATTGCAAAAACAGCACCTATGTTTGTAGTCAAAAATACATTGGTGAACAGATTTATGGCAATGCTTTTCACAGCAAGTTTCAAAGAAAATACATTCCAGCAGCCAGGAGGTAGAAAGGAAGGACCAGTGAAATTCAGAACCTAAAAAGTAAAGAAGCCAGAGAGATTACTTTGCTAATGCTCATGATGATTAGAATCATGATAAAGTACAACACTAAAGTTCTTCTGTATTCCAGAAAGTAGGATCGTACTCAACTTCCTCCAGACGAAAAATGACAGATTTCCAATAGCATTTAATATGCCACTGTTTTAAACTGCACAGAAGTCTTGAAAGTTTCACTAAGTGGCATTTTGCAAAAATCTACTATTTTATGAACCAGGTTTATTTTTACTAAAAACAATCTTTTTAGTAGAAATCATATTTTATCATAGTTTTGAATAATGGAGAGAGCAAATGTTCATTAAAGATATGTCCTGGCTGCTTTGGGCTCCTTGAATGGAAGGAAAGGAAAAAAGAAAGGAAGGGAGGAAGGAAGATATTACATTATAAAATTCTGAACACGTTAAAAGAAAACAATCTGTGGGCCAGCAGGTGGCGTGGCGGTTAAGGCACCAGAATCACATTACCAACTGTGGTCAAGTCCTGGACCCAGCAACTTGAAAATCATGCTGGGTGCATGTGCATGTGTGCCCAAAATCCCAGGAGGAGAACGGAGGAGAAGGGATTATGATATGGCCATTCCCCTGGGGGCTAATTTCTCACTTTCCCTGTGTCCCTCTCCTCCCTAGCAAGTGCATGCACCCTATGGCAAAAACCTTTAAAAAAAATAAAATAAAATTTCAAAAATCCTTGCTTTTAAAGATAAGTCAAAATTGAAATTCATAAATAACAGTTTCATAGCATTTGGCCTTAAACAAAGCTTAAACTAGGCTAAGACATGGGACACACCACCGTATGTACCTTTAACATGTGCTTGGTCTCCTTAGAAACAGACACGTCGTTCACGATGATGCCGCGGTCCAAATGGTTGAGGCACCACACGGACCACACGCCCGACGTGTTCTCCGGGGCCTCTAGAAGGAACTGGGCCGCAGAGGCATCCATTCTGAAGTACCTGTGGGTGGGGCAGAGGACGGCGTCAGCTTGTGCACGGCCATGCCTGCACCCTAAGACTCTCTGCAGAACGGGGAGCCTCTCTGAGCCTTGCTGCATGGACCCTGGGCCTGGGGGACCTCGGAGCCCCCTCCCTCCTCAACCTCCTGGTCCCCGTGGGAGCAGCCAAAGCCGGACTCATCGCAACTCAGATGGCCATCGCTCCTGCCACACGCCTGGCCACCTGGGCCCCCGCCTGCTCCAACCTCGCCAGCTGGACTCCTTGGCTTCCTCCTCCTCCTGCCCAAAGCCCCTTCCCTGCTCGTGGGCAGTGATGGCGCAGGGGTGATAATTCCGGAGAAACGAGGGCCGGACGGGAACTTTCCACACACAATGCGCTCCTGGAGGGGAGGGGTGGGTTTCCGGGCGGCGGGGCCTACCCATGGACCACGGGGGAGGACAGGCAGGCGGTCAGCGCCGGGGTGCTGGTTCTCTTCACACCCTCCCTGATTCCGCCGTCGCACGCCGGGGCTGCTCGGTGACAAAGAAACACACGGGCAGTTAAGTATCTCTTCTTTGTAGAGCTTGAACGACAACAAGACACAGTCTGATTTGTAGCTGGAATTCACTGTGTCTCTGTTACAACGGCCACTCTCACACACACACGCTACCTGCCCTTCCTCCTGGCCGGTCGCCAGCTCTCAGGAGTGGGGTCCTACAGCTCTCTCTGCCACCTCAGAGTTTGGGGGACACACGGGCAGTTAAGTATCTCTTCTTTGTAGAGCTTGAACGACAACAAGACACAGTCTGATTTGTAGCTGGAATTCACTGTGTCTCTGTTACAACGGCCACTCTCACACACACACGCTACCTGCCCTTCCTCCTGGCCGGTCGCCAGCTCTCAGGAGTGGGGTCCTACAGCTCTCTCTGCCACCTCAGAGTTTGGGGGTTTTGCTTTTTTTTTTTTTTTTTGAGAGAGAGAGGTTTTTGCTATAGGATGCGTGGGCCCAACTCAGATTGCTATAGGATGCGTGAGCACAACTGAGAGACAAGAAGACAGAGATATGGAAAACGAGAAATCACCCCCAGGGGGGATGGCCATGCCACAATCCCTTCTCCTCCATTCTCCTCTCGGGATCTTGGGCACGCACGCACGGGCACCTGGCGTGAGTGTAAGCCGCCGGGACTGGAATTCAAACCATGGTCGACCACACGGGAGTCCAGTGACACAGCCATCGTGCCATCGCTGGTCCCTGCCACCTCATTTCTTTAGCACGCCCTCTCGTTTTTTATATTTTGGAGAGGAAAAAAAGGTACGCAGGAACACTGTGGGCTGGACAGTGGCACAGCTGGCCCGCAGGGGAGGGGCGCCCAGAGACCTCCCGGAGTGCACCTGGCACATGGGTGCCCGCGAGCCAGGCTGGCTGTGGCTGGCGGCAGATCGGGACAGCAAGACCTGTTGGGGGGTGTCTCCCTGTTTCTCTCACTCATAAAATAAATAAACTGGGCTAGCAGAAGGCAGGGCAGTTAGGGCCTGGGTCCCGCAGGGCCAGCTGCGAGGCTGCAGTCCTCCACGTGACAGCCTCAACACCCCACCGGGCACACGTGTACGAGAAATCACCCCCAAATCCTGAGAGAGGACTGGAGAAGAGGACTGCAGTGTGGCTACTCCCCGTGAGGGTGATTTCTCAGTTTCCCTCCCTCCCTCTGACTCTCTCCAGTGAGTACATTCACCCTACCCCCCTGTGGCCATCCCCCTGGAGGTGATTTCTCACTTTCTGTCTCTCTGGCAAGCACATTTACCCTAGAACAAAAACAAAACAAAAAACTCTCTTAAAGAAAAAAAAAGAAAAAAGGATCTTATCAGTAAAGGACTGATCGAGAGACTGCTGATTTATCAAAATAATACTTGAACTTTCCCTGAAATCAGTCGTGAAGCTACACCACCAGCAATGAATGAGCTGACACCTAGCTTTCTTTTTCTTTTGTTTCAGAAGTTTTTGCCTTAGGGCACGTGTGCTTGCTGGAGAGAGAAGGAGAGACAGAGACAGTGAGAGGGAAAATGAGAACTCACCCCGCGGGGGGATGGCCATGTAGCAATCCTTTCTCCTCCACTCCCCTCCCAAGATTTCGAGCACACGCACCCTGTATGATTTTCAAGCCACCGAGTCCGAGACTCGAACCACGCTTGGCCATGTGGAAGTCCAGTGACGTAACCACTATGCCATCTACTGGCGCCCCCAGCTTGCTTTCTTAAGCTATAGGTAAGACTCCAACGAAAATTCTACTGGGTCAACAGGAAGGTCACAGCGCAGTTTTGCAGAGAAACAGAAAAACGCGTCATGACTTTTCCTGACGACCTACTCCTATTAACAAAAAATGTGAAAACAAAGTCTACTCTTCACCCCCGACTCCTCTGTTAGCTCACACAGAGGAAACAGCCATCGGCGGCTTCCCGAGCCTCCTTCTGGGGGCTCTGAGCACACACGGGACAAGGACACCCTTGGAGAACTGTCCGGTCGCACTGCATGCCCTGGTCCATGCCTGACAGCCACCCTGTCCGCCCACCCAGAGGAGCTGCAGTTGGTCAGCCTGGCCAGGGGCCTGGAGACTGCTCTGGGGTCACACACACGCCCCCTCCGCGGTCTGGGTCTGAATCCACGTGCACTCCCAGCGCCCCAGTCACAGACCAGACACACGTGTGTCTACAGGGGAACGCCTTGCGCTCCAACTACTGGCTAAAGAACAGATAAGCACATTTTAAATGTTCAGAGACTGCCCAAGTTTCCCTCTTAAATAGCCGGTATCGATTAAATGTGCCTGTCACAAACATAAGTGGGTTTTTTTCCCCTAAGCATTCCCCACACAGAACACTAACAACCTTATTGATCTTTAGCTACTGAAATAATCAATTATATCTCACTTGCTGCTCTAATTCACATTTCTCTGAATACGAGTGAGAATGGGTACATTTTTCTATGTTGAGAACTCACTGGATTTCTTTCATTTTTTCTAATTTTTATTTTTATTTGTTTATTTATTTATCTATAATTTTATTTTTTTGAGAGAGAGTGTTTTTTGTTATAGGGGAGAGAGCGGGACAGAAAGTGAGAAATCACCCTGCCACGGGGGATGGCCATGCCACAATCCCTTCTCCATTCTCCTCTCAGGATTTTGGACATGCATGCACCTGTGCCTGGAGTTTTTTTGTTTGTTTGTTTGTTTGTTTTTTTTTTTAAGAGGTTTTTGCTATAGGGTGCATGCACTCGCCAGAGAGAGACAGAGAGACAGAAAGCGAGAAATCACCCCCCGGGGGGATGGCCACACCGCAATCCTTTCTCCTTCATTCTCCTCTTGGGATCTTGGGCATGCACACACACGTGCCCAGTGTGAGTTTAAGCCACCAGGTCCAGGACACAAACTGCAGTCGACTACGTGGGAGTCCAGCGACATAGCCATTACGCTAACTGCTGGTCCCCGGAGTGAGTTTTAAGCCACTGGGTCTGGGACTCGAACCACAGTCGACTATGTGGGAGTCCAGGGAGGTAACCATTATACCATCTGCTGGGCCCTTTTTAAAAATTTTTCCATAGGGTGCATGTGCTCACCAGAGATAAAGAGAGAAAAAGAGAAGTAAGAAACACCCGCTCGGGGGAGACAGCCATGCCACAATCCTGTCTCCTCTGTTCCTTCAGGATTTGGGGCACATGTAAATGCCCAGTATGTTTTTCAAGCCACCAGACCCTGGACTCGAACCATGCAGTCAGCCATGTGGGATCCAGTCACTGTAACTTCCCACGCCACCATCTGGCCTTCCAATTGAATTTTTAAAACTTTTATTTAAAACACAACTCTTTTTTTTTTTCCATTTAGAGAGATTTTTTGGCCACAGGGCACATTCACTTGCCAGAGACACAGAGAGAGATGGAGAGAGAGAAAGTGAGAAATCACCCCCCAGGGGGGACGGCCATGCCGCAATCCCTTCTCCTCCCTTCTCCTCTCAGGATCTTGGGCACGCACGCACATGCACCGGAGTGAGTTTAAGCCACCGGGTCCGGGACTCGAACCATGGCTGACTACATGGGAGTCCAGTGACATAGCCATTACGCTAACTGCTGGTCCTTTATTCTCTCTTTTAAACCCTGCCTAGCCCAGAGCTGTAAGTCATTCTCAGTGGCCAGTCGGATAACAGAAGGAAAAGGACAACCTGTGCGATTTTCTAACTCCGTACCTTTGCAAGTGAAAGAGGCGATTTTGGTGAAGTTGGTGGCGGAGGTAGGCAGCAGGACTGGCGTGAACTGCAGGGACAGCGCCGCTCGCGGTGAGACGTGGTGCACATCCTGGAACGGCAACAGCAAAAGCCACGTTACCACCTGGGCCGGAGCGCGCTGCGGCCGGTTCGAATCGACTCGGTTCACAGCGGTCGACAGACAGCACGGACCCCCATTCACAGCAGACGCTCAGCACCAAGGGCTGCAGCCTTCACGCAAATGCCAAGGTCAAGAAGGGGGAACGTATGCCCTCAATTGCACTTTTTTCCGCCACTGTCACCCCGCGGCCGTGTCCCCTTCCGTACCCTTTCTGCCTTGTTCACGTGCGCTCGTGTCTCTGAGAAACGTTTTCTCCCGAGCACTCTCCCCATCCAGAGAACGGGTTAAGTTAAAGCCAGGGAGAGTGGCTACGAGAGCTTCCGTGCCCGCTCCTGGAGCAAGCCCTCGCTGTCGCAGCTAAGCACACACTTGTCACCCCAGTGTAGACGCGTGCGGGCACCCAGTTACCTGGATCCATATGAGGCTGGCTCCCGAGTGTAATATATACATATTGACCGCCGAGTCGTCTGTCGGAACAGAGCAGAGATTAAGGCACCGCGTCTCCCCACACCGCGATGCACTCATTAAAAGGTCAC